AAAGTTTGTTTTACAGCCACTAAGTAGCTGTTAGTTGAAGTCTGGGCGACATAGTCGTGGCGCACGAACATAGCACAGCCGAGAACATGCAGCTGCTTGTTATTCAGCATGCGGTTTGCAACAATGTTTTCCGGGAAGGGTGGCAGGCTCTTGCTCGGGCGTACAGCCAGCAAGAACCCTCTCGCTGGATTGCGGAGCTGCAGAACCATGACACTGACGCCAGGCACATCGCTCAAGCGCACGCCCGGGGGCATCACCTCGCCCGGCACCCCGAAGTGACCAAAGCTAAGCTGCTGAGCTAGTCGCTCACCACATTCTGCAATACCGTTGCTACCTTTCACGGCCAGGCTACGCAAAGGAATCCGCACCGAGAAGACAGAACCATCGGGCCGAAGGCAGGCGGCTTCCACCTGCGCTTGTGGTGCTGGCGGCATTCGCCACTTTCTCGCCTTGAAAAGCTGTACAATGGGGAAGCCAAATGTCTCCGACTGAACCTCCTGATAAGCCGAAGACGAAAGCGCAACCACTTTAGGGGACAGACATCATGTTCATGGCACGCATCATGCCCCTGGGATGCTGCAGCACAAAGCTCCAAGCCTTGTCGCCGGCGGCGATGCGACACATTGCCTAATCAGAATGCCAGAATTTGTCTAAAGCCCTCTGTTGTTGTTTGCTTCTCGTGTCTCTTCTCGTCTTCGTCAGTCGCAGAATGAGAGACGACAAAAAAAGAAATTTTGATTCACCTGCATCAGAACGTATTCTGGCCTCGCAACAAGCACCGCCCGAAGTGTGGCAGCCAACACATCACTGCGAAAGCCGCGGGTGCATCTGGGACTCACGCAAAATCCAGATATCGCGCAAACAAGGAGGGCATGTGTTGCACAGAAATGCTGCGGCCACACGCTCGTCACATGCAGGCCCCCTGCACATGAACATGATTGCTTCCGCAATGGTGTGCGCCAGAACAGCAAACAAGGTTGACCTTGTGGATCTTGTGGCAACAATCAACCGCTGACCTTTTCCGATGCGATCGCCACACCCGCCTGTACAGGTAGCCGGGCTGTGTTACGTTTCTGTCCTAGGCGGCTTTGCCAGCAATCCATGCTGCGCAGCAACCTCCTTGAACGGCCCTCCCAGCTGGAGGCTGAGGCAAGAACTCCGATTGGACTTATTTGTTGATATGAATCAGCTTTGTGTACTTGCCGCCACCTGTCTCTGATTTGTTTATCTCTAAGTACTCTCCGTATGCAGACATTTTCTGAATGGCCACAATCTGAAAGCTCTTCTGATCCGTTGCCAGCTGCAAGTCATGTTACTCGCACATACACACGAACACCAGCGAGGACGGAATGCTCAACCCTGGAATCGTTGCTCTTTCACACCGGCTTCCGAAAGCACTGTGACGCTAACGTAGCTGTGTCGGAGCATTATGCAACTACCTTGGAAAAGGAGGGGATGTCTAATATCACTGAGACATTCCGCGGACAAGCTCTGCAGCCTACAACACCATGTATACCATGCATGCATATTGGACTAGACTCAGGGCGCTCAGTGCCGCGGAAACTGGAAGCGATCCAGGCGCTGGCACACCTTCGGCGGCTTGGGTGATTCGGCTCTGGGGAAGAATGTCCGGAGACTGGACCGCAAATACAGATTCAAACGCAGGAGCACTGCCTCAGGTTTCTTGGAGTCCGCGTGCACTGCGTGCACAACGGCAAGTGTGCTCGCATAGCAGTGGCCGATGAAGGGTGTCGGATGGAAAGGAAGCAGTCCAATTGAGCCATTTTTCACTTTGGACCTTGCCTATGATAGCTCAGCACGTGTGAGCCGATAATGATGCGAAGGCGAAAGCCGTGTGCTGTCGAGGGGCCGTCAAGCACCATCCGTTCGACTTTGCAACGGCGCTTTTGATTGAATTTTGTTATACACCAATTAAACAATCAATCGCACACATGCGTTCAAGCATGCTTCGGCGTGCAAGCCGCGCCTGAATTCGGCATCAGCGCATCTTCTCCTGTTCATCCCAGAAGTCGCATTCTTCGGCACGGTAGTGCTCCACCTCTTGGCTGACGCCAGCGTCAAAGCGCATGGCATTGCCACGCTCAGGATCATAAGGATACCAATCCGGCAGCAGCACATTAAGGCGGCTATCCTCCTGAGACTCATGTGCATCTGCGATATTCTCTGTGGTATTCCCTTCATACCAAATGAAGTTCGTGTAGGCTCCCTGAAGACGATCTGTCAGCTTAGCCCCCTGCACGACTTTCCCGTCCACATCGATCTTCGAGGGGTTCTCAAAGAGGAAAGCGAGGTCAGATCCATGTCCGGCACCTGGGCAAGGATAGCAGCTGCCCCCAACTGGCTTTGCATCCATGGCTTGGGAAGCCTTCCTCAGGGCCATCATTTGCTGTTTGTTGAATACCTGCGGCACCAGCCAACTGTACCAGAAAGCTTGCCCTCCATGCTCGTGGAATCGGTGGACGACCCGCCGCATGATGCACGTAAAGTCTTTGTCTGCGCCCATCACACGTGCCGCCCAGTAAGCAGCACTCCACTGATTTGGGAATATGCTCAGAGCATAATCTCGAAAGATCGTAAGGGGATACAGTCGCATCGCCTTCTCTGCTGTGGCCGGCGACATCTGTGTCTCCAGGTATTTTCGGAGCTTGTGAGCATCTGCACTGGGACCCAGATCTACGAGCTTGTCACCCAAAGTGTTGCCAATGATGATTGGCACGGAAAAATCCACAACAGTGCTTCCTGTCTTGATGGCTTCGTAGGGACCTAGAACCATTTCGACACCGTCCACAACTGGCCCATACCATTGCCCGTTGCCACAGTTCATAGTCTCCTCTGCGGACCGTCCGAGCAAGCACCGACGATCAGTCTTAGCGCAACCAAGACAGCGGCAAACGGCAGCAAAGGCAGCCTCTGCAGCTGACATTGGCAAAGCTGCCTAGTCGGTAAAACCGCCTGACATGATAATAGCACGTGAGAAATGCCCTTTGGATCTTGATGCCACCAGGTGCACCGAGATAGATGCAGCACCCGCAGACCAGCCCATCACCGTGATCCGCGCTGGATCACCACCGAAGGCGCGGATATGCTTCTGAACCCACACCAATGCCAGCCTCTGGTCCTGTATCCCATAGTTACCCGTCGAGTTATCTCTGGCACGCAAGGATTCTGAACCTGAAAAGCCAAAGACGCCCAAACGATAGTTTGTGCTTACAACCACCACCTTGTGGTTCCAGACAAGTTCGGCTGCATCGTCTGGAGCAGTGTCACTTCCAGCCCCCAGGGTGTAGCCGCCACCATGAAACCAAACAAGCACAGGGTTTGGCTTGTTCCCAACACCCCAGGTTGGGGTGTATACGTTAAGGTACAAGCAATCCTCGCTTACACCTTCCTGTCTGTAGCCGCTCGGATGCATGCAGGCAGGTCGAAACTGCCTTGCAACCAGGGTCTGCGGCTTCCAAGCAGGTGCCAGCTCTGGTGGTTGAAATCGCTCAGCAACTCCGAAGGGGATGCCCTGGAATACGCGGGCGCTTGGATACAAGGTGCCCTCAACCATGCCCAGCTCTGGAATGTCAACATAGGTGGGCGCAACACGGAAATATGGCGAACAGACCCTTGCCAAGAGAAGGAATGTAAAGACTCCAGCACAAAGTATAACCATCCACTGCACTTCGGATTTGATGGAGCCCTGCTTATACAAGTTGTTCGAAGCCGCCTCCCTCGTAGTCGACGCAAATCTGCCCGCCTTTTCCACGACAGCATCCAGCTGCGAGGAGGCGCTGCGGATGAGTCTGGCTGCGGCTTGCGTAAGACCACCTTTTCTATCCTTGCTATCCTGCAGCAATCCTTCAGAAGCCATGGCGAGGCGGAAGCGGAAGCCGGGACTTCCGGAACTTTGGCTTCCGAAAGCCACCAACCTAATTACAACAATATAAAAACCCAGAAACCGAACCATGGCCCCCCCCTAATTGCAGTGGCAGGTGAGGGAAAAGCCATACCAAACCTAACAGTGAGCGTTGAATGGAAAACCAAAAAATCACGCGCTTAAACTCACGCGACTCGCAGGTATGGATTTCTTTCCGCGCACCGTAGATTCCCGCTCGGGATGCTTGTCTTGAGGTCGACACCACGGTACGGAATCATCCGTGGTCATGTCTTTTCTGGAACAGTGCCAGACCCCTGCCGACACAAATCACATGCTTCCAGCATCCGGGGCCTCTTGCATCCATCGTGGCGAGTGTTCGTAGCTTTGCCAGAACCTTGGCTTGACTGGCTTCACTTTGAGCAGCCTGCCGCACGCTAGATGATGGAACGGTGAACACTCACCCCGTCACCAGACATCCCGGACATCCCTTCTGAATTTCAGCGAGAAGCTTGATGAACCAGTGAACACGGCCGTGATCAATGCGCGGCAGAACATGGCTGTCCGGGGGAATCGCGTTGCGTTCCTCGACCAGAACACTTTTTTTTCAGTGTTGAACCCCTGACAACCCGAGTCTTCTCCATGCTCTTTCGATAACTTACCTCAGATCTCGGCGCGAATATGTTCAACTAAGTTCGGGTTCCCCGGTGTGTTATCTGGCTTGGTGTACTCGGTTAAAAAACATGCAAGCATCTAAAGGGGCCCTCGGCCACAGAACAACTCAAAGACACCGGCCGTTCGGCCCCCGCCTCCAAAAGACGACAGATCTCCTGCAGGCACTGCTGCCAGTGGCCCGCGGAGGCATTGATCTCGGGATCGCATAAGTCTTTGGCATTCTCGGCCGTGATGCGCGTCTCATCAAAGTCGCACATCCCAGCCTCAGTTACAGAGGGCCCCGGTCTCGGCGGACCATGGGCATTGGGCCTTTTTCTCAGATATATCCGAAGCCTTCGGCCTCATTCCTGAACAGGGCTCCGGCCTTCTCTGTGGGGAAGATGTACCAGGCCCAGCAGCTCTCCTGGCCCGGCAGTCTTCGACTTGAGCATGGCTGAAAGAACGCGGGGTGCATGACAGCTTCGATGAAGGCGAAAGCTTCAACATCTGGCTCCCGACACCCGGTAAGTGCAATCTGTGCCTAGGGAAGCCAAGCCCGCGAAGGCTTCGAAATAGTCTGATATTACTCTTGTCTAAACCTCCACTGCAAGACTTCCATGAGAGTCCAGAGCCCAGCGCTCTTCCTGGCACGCCCTTATAAGTCGAGTGACCACAGCTGGATTTATGTGCATACGTGCATACAATGCATACATATGTATGTATGTATGTATGGACATAGTTAGATACATACATACATACATACATACCTACCTACCCACTTACCCACCTACCCACCTACCCACCTACCTACCTACCTACCTACATACATACATACACACGCCTATTTCGCCTCTATACACACATCATCCACGGATTCATACAATGTACGCAGCCCTATGAAATCTTTCTTCCGCATGGCTCCTTGGCGCCGTCATCCAGCTCGCGCAAAATCTTTTGCATGTGCTTCTCCTCCGGCACTGGTTTGGCTTCGCTGCGATTAAAGCTTACCTGAGGCTTTCTAATGATAATGTACGTATTCATTCCTCCATGCAGGTATTTTTTCCCACTCTCAGCTGCCAGGAATGGACACTACGTACCTGCAAAACGACCAGCTCGCCCCGCTTTTTACTCAACACCTGCTTCTGCCCGAAGCTTAGCACGGGGGGTGTTGAGGGTTCGCTGGCCTGGCATTGGAGAAGCGCTTGAAAAGCCCGCCTCCGCATGTGGGTCAATGTGGACTGCTCGGTTATAAGAAGGCTCATACCACGCTCTACCTGATTTTCTTTACCTGCTTTCATCGGCATCCATGCTCCTGGATTTCTGTTGGGTATGCCGAAAAGGATCGGAGCATGCGGCAAATCATCCCTTGGACGTAAAGATACAGGTCAAAAAGAAGGTGCAGTTAAAATCTGAACCTGCCTGTCGCTGGAGCTGCCGGAAGTCGCGGTCGTCTTGCCTCGGCTCGTTCGTTTCGATCATTTCGGCGGGATGTGTGACTTCCTCGTGCGCTATACTTCCAAATATCATCCCGAGTCTGCTGTCGAAGCAACTCTCTCGGACTCAGCGTCCGATTCGGACCGCTCCTCCTCCTCCTCCTCCTCCTCCTCCCACTCAGCGTTTCCCCACAGCAACGTTTCACCTGCAGTTTTGCCATCATTCGGCAAGTCAGCATATCCTTCGACCGCATGCATCATCCCCATCCCATTCCGCATTTTCTGGAGAAACTGCATACTCGCCATTGCCCAAGGCATGATGCTCCGAACTATCACTTGCAGCTCAACAGCATCATACGTTATGCACGGATGCAGCTGCCAGTGCATGGCTTTCTCGTCATTGGTTAAGCCCAAAGCTGAATCGGTACGGCGCTTCGCGGCCCGGCGACAAAGACCTCGCCTGCCGAGCCGTCCAATGCTGAGCCCAGGCTCTATATACAGCATACTAGTAGTAACAATACAATTAGCAGTAGCACTGAAATTCTTGTACTTCATACTACAGCAGCAACACTTCCAGGAACAGTGTGCCACAGCGCAGTGACCCACTATCGCGCGAGGAGGGGCGCAAACTACATCGACTTCTCGCGGGATCGGTTCGGCTCTGGGGCTGCTAATGTTGGACAAGTGCAGAAGTTTGGCGCGGCCTTGGCCTTCGGCGCTTTTGCCGCTTTGGGCTTGGGCATGACCTTCTCCGGGGAGTCGACGGCAGCCATGGGGCAGCGCAGGAAAATGTCGAAGAAGGTATAAATTTAAATTCATCGCCATAGCGCCAGGTGCATGCAAATGCTGGGGCTTTCCTGGAAAGTGTCAACAACATAACTAGCTCCATGTGATCTCTGAGGAAAACTCTACCATCACGGCGTCAGCGCTGTCACAGTCAACCCAGGCAGCATGGCTGTACCATCCTGCTTTTTTGGAAGCTTATGCACCTGCCCAAGACACCCTCACATGCGTGCACCCCATTATAGCATGCACCAGTCCCAAACCGCAACCGAATCCGTAGATCAACCCCTCAGCCTTTACAGCCTTAGGAGCCGGCATGGGGATCTACTTAGGTGTGACTTGATATCGAATAAAGACTAGCCCAATCTCGAAAGCCCCTCACAAAACCGAAGCCGCGGTGCAAGAGTCCCGCAGCTGAACGACAAGTAGTTTTAAGCCCAGGCTTTGCCGAATTCGTTACCGGGTGCCTTTAGACTTTTTCTCACAGCTAGCGGCATCGCTACGGTCAGTGAGCCAAATTCCAAGCTCGAATTAGTGCTTAGGATCGGTGCTGAAGTCGGGAAGGTGAAAGGTTGTCTCTCCAGAACCCTCCAAGCGGAAAGCTCAAGCAATACGGTACTGAGAGGTTTCAGGTTCAGGGATTGTGGGAACGGTTCACACACTGGCTCGCCAGCCCATACATGCAGCTGTACAGATTATATGGATTAAGCAAACACTCCGACACCAGGAATCCGCAAACTAGGGGCCATGCACAGGTGTCAAGGACATACAGGTTGCTATTTGTCACCCTGTAACCCTCCCCTCGACGATGACTGCTCGACAACTGCTTCCCTCGACAGTAGTGTTGCAAGCTGTTGCAGTAGCTGCTGTTGCTGCTCTTCATACACGCGAGTACGGACATGCTCGCCGTGCTAATTATGCTGTGCTGCAGGTCTTGTCCAACAGCATAGAATAGGCTTATTAACATTTGTATTGTTGTGTTTCGGCAGCTGTATCTTCTGCAATCTCTGCCGCTGCCACTGTGTTTCTTGGCACTGCACAATTATGCCGTGATTCTGCCATGGTTTAGCCCCAGTTTGCTGAGAAGCATAGCTTGACAGCAAGACGCGCAAATTGGGAACGACAGCCACCAGTTCTCAGGAGTGAGGGGAAGAACGAGCAACAGGCACTGTTGGAAACGACCGGGGTGTCTCAACTGCGGCAAGTCAGCTCTTACCGCTCACGTTGCGATTATCTTCTCTGAAGCACGTACATCCTGTGGGGCAATTGCTGCGGAATCCCTGGTCAAACTCATGCTAATTAAGGCCCACGAAGTGCATGCTAACATGCATAAGATCATCGATCATTTGTCGGCACCTGCAGGCAGGAATCCAATTCTAATTATATCCAACAGTTGCGATTGAATTCGTGGGCAGGCAGGTGAAAAACCGTCGTCTCACCCGACCGAACACCTCGTCCACACTTTGTGACTCTCAATGTGGTGTCTCAGCATTGTCCTTTTTCGCCGCGCCGCAGACTGGCAAATCAACTGGTGCGGTTTGCCCCTGCTGGGGCCCCGGGCTGTGAGGGAGCCTCCACCTGGCTTCGAGTTTCGGGACTGCGAGAGCTCAACCATGCTCAGCCCCTAACTCACCGATCATCCCTGCACTTTGAAAAACTATTACAAACATGGCCTCCTCTAAGTGTCTTCACGCTGATGGGCCTTTACTTTACACCACTTTCCCCACATCCTAAACGCCAAAACCCCAAATCCCAAAAGCCCTACTGGGCCCTACTGCATTTCCCTCTTGCTCTTTTTTGCTGCGCTGGGCGACCTTCCACAGGCGCTCCCAAAGCCTCGCTGTGGCCTGGGAGCGGATCGCGGCGCTTGCTACAGGGCTCTGGTAACATATACACGTATGTGTGTATATAATTACAGTTAATTTCGATAGATAAATACATACCTACGTATTGATACGTATTTATTGTATTGACATATGTACTGGCTTATATATGTATATGTCTGTGTGTATATGGACAGAGAGAGAGATAGATCTCTCCTTAGTTTAGAGACAGCGCTTGCCTCCCGGGGCCTGCATCGGGTGTTTAAAGGGATGGGGACAAGACACGGACGAGCTCTTGTAGGCTATTTGGGATCTCGACACGAGGATTTCGCATTGGGGCGTTGGGGCTTGAGTTTGGGCAGCACGTAGTGAATGTAGTGGAACTGAGCTGGGGGTGTTGCGGAGGTTAGCACAGAAAGCCTCCAGCATGCTTTTTTCGCGGAAGTGCCTCATTCACATGGGCGTGTCGGTGCTGCCTTCGGGCTGGGTGTTCCATGCCCAAAGCGAAATCAGGCTGGGCTTACCTTACATCACTCGACCGTGGAGCGGTAGGGCTCCGATGTTCTGCGCCCCATGTTTAGACTCTTCCCATAAACGCCATGCCATATCCCGCCCAAGCGGATTTAGCGTCAGCGCGGCTGTGAATTGCTGCGGGACCTTGTCCCATCTTGTCCCACATGCCAGAGCCCAAGTAAAGAGAGCTTGTGCTTCGGATGCTTCCGGCCATCTCACAGGTCTTCCTCCTCATCGTCGTCCTTACCCGGAGGCGCCTCCTGGCAAGCAACTGAAAAAAAAACCCTGCCAATGGCATGATGCCAGTTGCATCTCAGGACACCACATCATATCCCACAAGTAGCAGAACCCCAGAAGAGCTCCTTCGCAGTGCAGAGCTGGGCTTTCTGGAAGCACAGCCAATGCTCCGTGAGCGCGCCGTACATGCGGCCCTGTGCCCAGCTTGAGCTGGCTCAGATGCAGGAGCTTGACTCGAAAGACAGGTAGATGGATGTATTTCAGGGGAGAAAGACCGACCCCGCCCGGCCTCGTGGCGAGCCGCCTTGTCAACAAGCTCTTCTTGGAATGTCCTGTCAGGACTAGGCCGGGCTCGGGTTTGGCATGGGCCGCCCGGTTCCGAGTCCCTGTGCATGCCTTCTGCCTCAAGGCATCTCAAGGGAACATCAGAGCAACTCCCCGAAAAGTCTCCCGGAGTTTAGCCGCCTCAGGAGCGTGGCACAGAGCTCCTTAGACGCTGCTCGGTTCTTTTACAAGCAGTCTCTATACCAATCAGGATCAGCTGGGACTCCGTAAGGTTGCCCTTCGCCGCCTCACTGGTCCCCAGGAGCTGGAAGTGCTCGCTCCTGAGGCCGAGTAGGCTTTGGGATCGGTGTCGCTCCAGAGCACGACGGCGTTACAAGGTCTCGGCCGTCTAGCTGGTTGAAGGAAGCTGTCTGCCGACATCAATAACCCAGTGAAGAAGACCCGAAGGTGACTCCAGCTGCTTCCGGAAAGCGTAAGAGAGTTCGACTTGCCACCGCGAACGTCATTGAAGTCTTGGTAGCTGGGCGGCGACCTCGACTCGGCACCGACGCCATGTCCTTCCTGCCCTCGGCCCTCCGAACACAGCTTTCTCGGCTCAGCTGCTGCCCGGACGGAGGCACCCACAGCACCACCTCGGAAAGCTATGATAAGGCCCTCGAGTCGATGTTGAGGAGGCGAGGTGCAGACAGGACCCCGCCTGTTTTGGGAAGCGCCTGTGGGCGCAAGCGCCAGCGTCGGCAGCACCGCTGCCAGCCAGGGCCTGCGTCACAGAGCTTGCAGGGCAGCTAAATTAAGTAGTTCGACCCTTACTGAAATGTCAGCAATGCCATGATGCTGGTCCTAACCCAGCGGCCCTTGCACGCACGTTACAGCGAAAGGCTCTTTTTGAAGCTTAGGATGGCGGGCCGTGATCAGACAAGCACTGCACAGCGCAAGTTGAACTACTGAGTTACTGCCCAATGACAAGACTGTCTTGGAGGTGGCGACTCCAAATTCCGAAATGCCTGAACACATCATCTGCGCTGCTTGCTCTGAGCGCGGGAAGCCTCCTCCGCCAGGAGCCTTCTCTGCTTTGCCTTGACACGCCTGGATCAGGCATTGATGCTATGGCGGAGAGAGCACCAAACATTCCCTACAACGTGGGATAAAGGACACAGCTATATCGGTGACTGCTCAGTCTTCGTTGCAGTGATCCCACATGGTAACACAGGCTTCGAGGCGAACTGAAGTTTATCTTTTCCTCAGTCATGTCATCCCCGGCAAGAATCTGACGGGAGGGTGTGACACTGTCTGCTTCGGGATGCTGCAGGATCTTGCCAGAGACGCATTGGCATGCCGTTCACATTCGAACGACCCTACGAAGGAACCCTCACGCGCACTGCGCAGATACTATCACGAACTAATACCTGCACACGGAAAAGGACAACACAAACTCATCGAGAGATATGAAGGTCAAAGCGTAAGGAACTTTCCGGGGTCTGAATGAAAATGACATCTCTCGGCACAACGAGACTAGAACTGCCATTACAACTGGCAGAGCCCCTACAAACTCGCACACCAGCTCTGAGTTCTGGCTTTGGCATCTTCTCCAAAAGAGCCGCCCGCAGCGCTTTGGCCGCCCAGAGGCCTCCACAGCTTTCAGGCAGCTTGAAAGCAGCTGCTGTCGAGGGCTGGGCAACCCCAAACCCCAACACCCAAGGCCCCTCAGCTCAACACAGCAGAGGCACAGGCACTACAGGATAACGGCCCTGGCGCAGGCAGGGCAGCCTCTGCGGCCTTCGGTACGTTGTGGACGGAACTGGGAGATCTCACCAAAACGAGCGGCATGTGTGTGTGTGTGTAGCCCCGCACCGTTACATTTCAGGGTTCGGGGTCTGAAGGGCTTTCTGATGACCTGGCACTCCGAAGGTTCCGGTCTCGAGGTTGCATCTACAGGCCGGCTACGAAGAGCACAGAACATGAAGCCTCTGCACTCCCCTTTGTGCGCTTCATGCGTTCCGCGTTCAGAAGACGAGTAGAGTAAAGCTATGGCAGCTATGACAACGCCGTAACGCCGCCGAGCCCGTGTTTGCAGGTCAAACGTTCGCCAAGCCCCGAACCAATAGTGATGGAACAGCATGGTCTCGCCTCCCTTACTCTGAATCTCCTGGTGCCCACCGACCCCGGCCCCATTTGGTAGTTCATTTACTCTGAAACAGCGTCTCCTGCCTCCTCCTCCTCAGATGTGCCAGCTGACAGTCTTTTGCGAGAGTTAGAAGGGTGGCAACACACAGAGAACACGATTTCCAACTTAAGCATACTACTTACTACATGCACCTTTTGAAACCAAAGAGCAATCAACTGATCGGCTCTGACTAAACTCCTAGTAACAAGTATTGACAAGTTCATGACATTCTTGGTTATCGACCCTGTGAGTCCAAGCAACAAATGATTTGGACTAGACTG